CTATACCTACCACACATACATACTCTCAAACATGTACCTCCCACCTCGCTCCCATCTCTTGTGCTCTAGACATGTATTTTGCCAACTGGCTTTTTTATGTTTTACAAAGAGCTCAGACTCTTATTCAAAACCAAACTATTTCTTTTTCCCAATACTTGTTCTTCACATATTCCCTTTCTCAGTTAATGTATCGTCATCAGTCAATCATTCAGGCATGACTTTTTGGAACCTCTTTTTTTTTTTTTGTCACTACCCACATCTTATCATTTCCCTCTGATTTGTTTCTGGAATTTGTGCTTTTCTAACTATGCTGCTTCAATTCAGGCTCCCATCTTCTCTCACTGGAATTGTTGCCTCGTCTCCTCATTGGTTTCTGCAGATCTGGATGCTCATCTTTCTACCCCATGTTCTCCTCTGTGTCCAGAGTGACTTTTCTAAGATGCGGGTCTCACAGTTTCACTCACCTGTTTCAAAGCTCCAGGCTTTCCTGCTGAAGATCTTAAGACCTAAGTCTAAGTGCTGGTAGGTTTGTGCTGACCTGTTTCTCCACCCTCATTGCCTGCCACTGATGGCTCTGCCCACACAGTAATTTATTAATTGGCTATTCCTCCAAGATACCATATGCCTTCACAGCTCTTTTTCTTTCTTTTTTGTTTAAATCACCTAGGATGCCCTTCTCCTCTTTGTGGCCTGGCAAACAACCTTAACAAGCCAGCCAAATGTTTCCTTCGCTTTTGACCCTTCTGTGCATTAATAGCATTTTTAACATTTCTCCGTTGCTGCAGCAATCACTTTGTGCCATAGTTATTTATGTGACTGTAAGCGCTGGGTTTGGCACAATTCCTGGCTGTGCTGGTTGATTTGAATAAATGAATGCATGAAAGGACAGGGTCTGCAAGGAACTTCAGAGAAAGAATCTAACAGGTTGAAATTTATAAGAGGTAAATGTGCATCAAGAAGATCAATTTTAAAAGAACAAAGATGGAAGAGTTTGATTTAACAGCAGAATGTATTAAAAATTACTGGGAGGTTTTGGTTGACAGCATTGTATGGGTCAACAATGTGAGGTGAGGTAACAAAAAATAAGAAAAGGAAGAAAAAGGAGAAGAAGAATGTGAAAGTTTTTAGATAAGGAAGCCGAGTGTCTGGTTTTACACTAGAGAATTGTGGTTGTTTCTAGGTATTACGGTTTTAGAGGGACTTAGGCCAGAATAGCAATAATTCTTGAAAGCATTTTAAAAAGATCTGTTGAAAATATCAAGATAGACAAACTATTGGCTAACACAATGAAGAAGATAAAGGGAGAAAGCACAAAAGACAAAATGAGAAATGATAATGGAGAAGTAACCAATGAAACAAAAAAAATTATCAGAGTATTTCCAGGTCTATGCAAATGCATTTTAAAACATTGATGAAATGAATCATCTCTTGGGAAATTCTTATTAAAATTGCTAGAGACAAAATTTAAACAGACCAATTTTTGTAGAAGAAATGAAGTTATTAAGGAACTATTCCTCAAATAAGGTACTGGGCCCAGATTATTTTATAGGGGAATTCTATCAAACCTCCACATATCAGAGAGTCCCAAAGCTTTCAGAGTATTGAAAATGTAGAGAAACTTCCTACTTCATATGAAGCAAAGGTAATATTGATACCTAAATATGATAAAGACAATGCAAAAAGAAAACTGCAGACTAATATTTATGAGTACCTATGAAGAAATGTCATATATAGTACTACTATAGCACTAATAATTATTTTATTAACAATAGAATCTAACACCATAGTAAAAATATAATTCACTATGATCTGGTGAGTTTAATTCCAAGAATTAAAAGTAGGTTCATTATTAGGAAATCCATTAATATCATATAGTACCAGACTAATAGGTTTCAGGGAAAATAATCATAAAAGATTAATTCCATAAATGCTAACAAACTTTCAGAATTCAACATCCATTCCTCATAAAAACACTCAAGAAAATAAGACTTGACGAATACTTTCTTAACATGAGAAAAAATATATATAGTTCTAATACCAGTAACTTACTAAATTGGGAAGCACTACAATGAAGAAAAACTATTTTTTTTTACAGTTGATGTGATAGTAATCCTGGAAACCACAATCCTGTATAATAAAAGCATAGTATGCAAATTGTCCCCTCGATCGGGAGGTCATCCGGGAGTTCAACCAGGGGCAGGGCCTGCTAGGGGAAGGGAGAGAGGCCCTGGTCGGCAACAGGCAGCCGCTAGGGACCCTACAGTGCACTAATTTTGTGCACTAGGCCTCTAGTCACTGATAAAACTTGAACGATTAAAGATAAGGTAACAGGTCATAAAATTAACATACCAAAGTAGCTTTTATATACACAAAAAGTAACTAATTGGAAAACATCCTATATAATAAAAGCCCAGCGACTGAAATGGTGGAACGACCAGAACGACCAGAGACCAGAACACCATGGCCCCTCGCCCCGGCTGGCTCCACCTCCCAGGGAGCAGTTAGGGGTGATCAGGCAGGCAAGTAAGTGGTTAGGGGCAATCAGGCATGCAGGCAGAGGTGGTTAGGGGTGATCTGGCAGGCAGGCAAGCAGTTAGGAGCCAGCGGTCCTAGATTGGGAGAGGGATGTCCAACTGACCGTTTAGGACCGATCCGCAGGGATCCCTAAACCGGCAGTCGGACATCCCCCAAAAGGTCCTGGATTGGGAGAGGGTGCAGGCCGGGCTGAGGAATCCCCCCATTCCATCTGTGCACAAATTTTGTGCACTGGGCCTCTAGTAATGATAATAAAGTTCAGAGCAGAAATAAAGGAAACATCAGGCAAACCCAAATTGAGGGACACTGAATATTTGGGCCAATATTCTTCAACATTGTCAAGATCATGAAGGGCAAAGATTGGAAGAGTCTAAAGAAACACGACAACTAAATGCAGTGTGGGACCTTGGATTGGACACAACCAGAAAAAGGACATTAAGTGGGATAATTAGGGAAATTTGAATCATTTCACTGTAGATTAGTTGGTGGTCTTGGGTCAGTGTTAATTTCCTGTTTTGATCATTGTACTGTTTTGTGTAAGATGTAAATATTTGGGGAAGGCGTGTAAGGGAACCCTTTGTGATGTTTTTGCCACTTTTATGTGGCAAAATTATTTCAAAATGAACATTTAATAAAATAAAAAATAACACTTAAGGATTTGGGCCCAGCTGGTGTGCTAAGTGGTTGAGCATCAACCAATGAACCAGGAGGTCACGGTTCGATTCCAGGTCAGGGCACATGCCTGTGTTGCAGGCTTGATCCCCAGTAGGGGGCATGCAGGAAACAGCTGACCAATGATTCTCTCTCATCATTGATATTTCTATCTCTCTCCCTCTCCCTTCCTCTCTGAAATCAATAAAAATGTATTTTAAAAATACTTAGGGCTCCATCCGGTTTGGCTCAGTGGATAAAGCATCGACCTGTGGACTCAAGGGTCTCAGGTTCGATTTCAGTAAGGAGCATATGCCTGGGTTGCGGACTCGATCCCCAGTGGGTTTCAATACCGGGTCTACCATGTCCTAGCTGTGGGGACATTGGAGAAGTTACATAATCTCTCTGAACCTCATCCATCCATTGGGATGATACTGACCCTTCTGTGCTTTTTTGATAATTGAATTAGATGATGATAATAATGAAAATAGTAATGACCATTTAGTAAGCATCAGTTGTGCGGCAGCCCTGTTCCAGGTCTATTCATTAGCTCGTTAAAACATGTATACAACACAAATGATATTTAGTTCATGGTAGATACTCAATATTCCTCCCCCCACCTCTTGCTGATCACAGTGATTCCTGTAGTTTGTCAGTAGCTGATTGATTGTTGCCTTAGTACTGTCTTCCGAAGGACTTTATTTATTCCCACAAATCAATTTAGAGAAAATAAGGAAGATTTAATTTAAGCTCAGGAAGCCGCCAATGAGTAATTGCCAACATCACTTTATTAAGGAAGTACTTGGGGCTTAGAAGTCAACAGAACTCTAACCAAATTATAATTTAATACTTTAGCCCTTGAACTTAATTTTTGGGGTCTTGGACTTCTACAGAAACCAGACAGAGTGCTGCCTGTACTATGACATTGTTCATGTTCCCATCTTCAGACCAAATAATCAGAATAAACACCTGCATACAAGCTCTGTGTAAGGGACACGTGGAACATGTAAGGTCATCCAAGGGTTTGGATGAGTTGTATGTCCCTACCTGGGCCTAACAGGTGTCTGAGGTTGCTAGGCCTTAGCTTTGTTGAAAAATAAATGAAAGTGTCCCTCCTCCCCTAGCCTTTCCTTAGTTTTCAGGAACTCTGCTTACCATAGCCTTTCCTTGGTAAGTTTGTGCAGGTTTTAGGTGACTAGATCCTCTTTGACAATATAAAGCATGGATTAAAACTAACTTTGTAGCAATCCCAGGATTATAGGCTCAGGAGAATAATCTTAGGTTCAGTATGAGATTATTTCAGTTAAGTCTCATTGTGAAAAAAGCAGCTGGGCAAAAGGCAGTTCTGAGCTTGGTTTACTGCTTATTCCTGATCCCCAAGATCAATTCTTATGACTGTCACAGCCCATTGTGTGTACGGGACATGAGTGATTGTTCCTGGGAAGCAGGGTGGGCTGCTGGTGGCAGTGATTACACCAAAAACTGGCTGTGGTTGTGGGCCTGGACCTCATCCAGGCAAAACTCAAGGAAAGCCGGAGTCGTAGTCCTTGACACACTTGTCTCCTTATCTGTGTGTGAACTGCCACCCTAGTCAGAGGTTAGCTGATCCTTGGAGACTAACATAAAACGAGGGAATTTTAAAACCTGCTATATGCCTGACCATCTTTCTTCTTTCTTTCCTTAAAAGCTCCTGCTCCCTCTGGGTGTGATGCACTGCCCACCATAGTTCAACCTCAGATTCGGCCTTGCATGTGCAGGGCGGAGGTTAAGAATAACAGGCAGCCTTCCCCTTATTTCCACCTTTCATTTTTCAGCAGCAACTGCAGGCGTACGTGGCCTGGGTGAACGCGCAGCTGAGGAAGAGCCCAGCGGTGAAGCCCGTGCAGGACCTGCGACAGGACCTTCGGGATGGGGTGATCCTGGCTCATCTCATCGAGATTGTCGGTCAGTTGGCCCTGGACTCTGGTGCTAACATAAACCAGAACTTGACCTTCTTTATCCTTTATATGCCTTTCAGAACAGATGGCTTCTTCGGTAAAACATATGGCACCGAGCATCAGCCCATGGACTGAAGGGTCCATGACTCCCTTCAAGGGCACATACCTCGGTTGCAGGCTTGATCCCTGGCCCTGTTCGGCACGTACAGAAGGCAACCAATCGATGTGTCTCTCTCACATCGATGTTTCTCTCTCTGTCTCTCCACCTCCCTTCTACTCTCTCCAAAAATCAATGGGAAAATATCCTTGGATGAGGATTAACAAAGTGTGTGTGTGTGTGTGTGTGTGTGTGTGTATAAAATGTAAATAAAATCTATGGCACTGGAAGTAGAGAAGACAGAATACTTTCCCAGGGTTAATTAATTTATTAGTCAATAAACACTGTGTGCCAGGTACTGTGTTATGCTTTGGGAATATGATAATAAACACAGTCTAAGCTCTCAAGAGCTCCCCTCACCCCCAATCTAGTTGGAAAGACTGGAAAGTGAAGTCATTTCCATTAATGTACTTACATTCTGATGGGGTGAGTACAGATGGGGCTCATGGCAGGGGGCTCACCCAGCCAGTTCTGGAGGTTCAGTAGTAGCTTGTCAGAAGAATCAATGTCTGAACCGAGGCTGGAAAAGGAGGTGGTAGCCAGGCAGATACTGACTACCATGTGCTCCATGAAAGGGCTGGTCCTTCTGGAGCCCTGGAGTTGTTGATGCTCACTCTTATAAATGGTGCCATAACCTTATTTTCATAGCATTTGTGTGTAGCTCTGGTATTATTTTATTTCCATTCACTGAATGGTAATTGTTCAGCTCTCTCTCCTGTGTACACTGAGCTCTTTAAAAGCAGGTACAACATAATTTTTTTTTCTGTACTTTTGGTTCCACAACTCCTACCCAAGTGCCTGGCACATGATAGGTACTCAAACGCTGATGGTTATATTAGTCAGCTGACCTCACTGAGAGTCCTGGAGGGATGCAGGGTTCCCGTGGTGCAGAAGCCCGGTTTGCTGCAGGCAGCCTCTCCCTCATTGGCACAGTTCAGGGACTCATCAGAGTATTCATAGATAATGATGGTAATAATGGTAATAGTAGCAGCAGCTGCCATTTGTTGAATACTTTCTATCTCGTTTAATTTCATTTAATCATCAACCCTTGAGAAACAGCTAATAGTATCCCCATTTTCAGGAAACAAGCTTAAAAAAGAGGATTCGTAAAAATAAATTCATTGAGCAATAAGAATACTAGTATAGCAAGCATTGTGCTAAGCATGCTACTTTGATTGATGCATGACATGGGTAGGATGAGTGCCACTATCTTATTTTATGAGATTTAAAAAGGCGAGGCAGCTTTACAAGACCACATAACTGCACGGTCGGAGCAGTGGTACAAACCTAGATCTGCTTTCATTCCGAGCTCATTCTAAACATTTAATTTTCACTTATTTCAATAGATTATACTTGAAAATGTAATCAGATAAAAAACCCAGAAGGTACAAAAGGGTATAAAGTCAAAAGCCTTTTTTTCCACCTCTGTCCCTCTGCCAGCTACCTGTTTTTTCTGGGGCAATCAGAGTAAGCAGTTTTTTGCATTTCTTTCCGGAGATATTCTGTACATATACAAGCAGTTTGAATATGTGTTCATTTTTCCAAAACCCAAGTATTTTTGTGACATTCCATTGTGACTTTGCCTTCTAGAAAAGTTCACTGAACTCACTTCCTTTCCCCATTCCTTCCTTAACCCACCCGCCCTCCTCAGGCTTTGGATCCCACGACTCCACTAAAACTTTCTCAGGGTCACAACCTCTGCCTTGTGAAATCCAGTGCCAGGCCTCAGCCCTCATTTTATTCCATTTAAGAGAACTTCACACAGTTGATCACTCCTTCCTCCTTCAAACACTTAAAAAAATTATTTTTGGGGGGTGACATTGGTTAATAATAATATTATATAAGTTCAAGGTGTATACCTTTTTTTTTTCTTTTCTAAAGAGCAAAGGAAAGCGGGGCATCAGTGGGCCCAGGCCCAGTACTCGCCTGTCCCAACAGAAAGCCTTGAGGGCACGCTGCGCCCTCTCTCCTCTTCAGGAGTTTCCAGGCATAGATAGTGTGTCCACCACCTGAAGTCTCGTCTCCTTGCATCACCACGTATTTGACCTCCTTTACCTTCCCCATCCCCCCCAACCCCCCTTCCCCTCTGGTTGTCTGTATCTATAAGCTTGTTTTGTTTGTTGCTTTTTGTTTTATATTCCACATAAGACTGATATCACACAGTTCTTGTCCCTTTCCTCCTGACTTATTTCACTTGGCATAATACTCTCAAGATCCATCCATGTTGTTGCAAATGGCAATATTTCATTTTTTATGGATGAGTAGTATTCCATTGTATATATGCACCACATCTTTCACCCAGCTCTTGAAGCAGGACACTTAGAAGTTTTCCTTGATTATTCTCTTTTCCCCATGTATCATATCCAGTCCTTCGCATGTGCTGTCTGCTTTATAGTAAAAATTTACCTACTATCTGACTTTTCACCTGGCAGCCTCTTTCACTCTAGCCCAAAACGTTATTATCTCTTGCCTTGTCTTTTCATTTTCTTTCTAATTAATCTCCTTGTTTCCTTTCTGCATAATCTATGACTACCCAGAGTCAACTTTTAAAAACATAAACCAGCCCGGCTGGTGTGGCTCAGTGGTTGAGTATCAACCTATGAACCAGGAGATCACAGTTCAATTCCTGGTCAGGGCACATGCCTGGGTTGCAGGGGGCTCGATCCCCACTAGGGGGCATGCAGGAGGCAGCCGATCAATCATTCTCTCTCATCATTGATGTTTCTTTATTTCCTTCTCCCTTCCTCTCTGAAATCAATAAAAATACATTTTTTAAAAATTTGCAGGCCATCTAAAATATTTTTATTTTTCTACTCCCCATTCCAAATTACAAACACTAAGGCTTAACTCACTTGTATATTTATATATAATCTTACTCTTTACATCAAGTATTCCCTTTCTCTGTATCTGGCTATATGAGACTTTGATATTATTTCTCCTTATAACTTCATATATTTTCTGTCTTCTAACAGCAGGAGAAAAGCTGAGTGGGGTACAGCTGAGTCCTAGAAACCAACAGGAGATGAAGAATAATGTGGAGAAGGTGCTACAGTTTGTGGCCTCCAAAAAGATTCGTATGCACCAGACTTCAGCTAAAGGTCAGTGCCTCTTCACGTTCTTGGTGGACGAGTACACTCATCTTTACTGGCAATTGCTCACTGTGTAGTCAAGGGATCCGATAGACAGGAGGAGGATGACCTCATGTCATTTTCCCGTAAAGAAAGTTATTGGGACAGAGTGATTATCAAAATTTTACTGCTTTGTAAACCTGGGTGAAAATAGAAATTTTCTACTCATTTTAATTGAATAAAGGTCTGCTTGACTGTGTGTAGGACAATTAATAGAGAAGAAATTATAGAATTGGGATATTGATTTTAGAATTTCTTGTTTAAGTAATAAAAATGAGGATAGCTTTGTTTTTGATCCTATGGTTTCATGACCAATAATTATTTCACATCATAATAGCCTACATTTTTATCCATCCAGTTTTCCAGATGGAAAATATTTTCTAGCATTTTTTTTTTTTTTTTTTGTGGAAGAGCCACACTCAAGGGGCCAAAGAGCCACATGGGGCTTGCGAGCTGCTGTTTGCCGACCACGGCGGCCTAAACAGCCTAGCTCTCAGTAATTGATTTAAAAAAAAAATATTTTATTGATTTTTTACAGAGAGGAAGGGAGAGGGATAGAGAGTTAGAAACATCGATGAGAGAGAAACATCGATCAGCTGCCTCCTGCACACCTCCCACTGGGGATGTGCCCGCAACCAAGGTACATGCCCTTGACTGGAATCGAACCTGGGACCTTTCAGTCCACAGGCCGGCGCTCTATCCACTGAGCCAAACCAGTTAGGGCTAGCTTTTTGTTTTTGTTTTTTACATCACAGACTATTCCTGGTAAGATGGAGGGGCTCTGTGACCTCAGCACATGCCCTCTCCTGTAGCCACGCGGCCAGAAGGGGACACTTCTCAGTCCCCTTGAGCCCAGGCTGCAAGGATGAAAGGGTTTAGGTGTCTTCGGAAAGCACAGGCCCCCTAGTCCTCTCGCCATTTCTCTAGAACTGACTGTAATCCGGTTCTGTTTCAGCCTCAGTTTCTGGGCCTGGTTACCTGTGACTCTGGTGAGAATGGGGGCAAGAGGGCTCACTCCTGTCATGTTTCTATTACTGATGTTCTCTGTGTTGGGGTCATTCAGGAAGGGTAGATGCTGACCATTGAGAGCACCCTGTAGAAGGTATCAATCAATCCTTTCAAAACCTTGCATATCTAAAAGGCTATGCAACTAAAAAAATATATAATTTTACCAATTTCCTTACATTAACTTTCACCAGACCTATCACATTTTTTTTCTGCCTGCATTCCTTTTTCTTTTCTAGGGCAAATTTAGAATGCGATAATCTCTTTCATCTGGTCCCCATTAGGAGTGGGCTTGGGGATCTGGCCCATTAAAGTCAACTATTTTTAGGGAACACTGCCACTCAGGACCTCGTATTCTTTTACCTGGCTTCCTGCTTAGTCCCACTGCATGGATGTTTGTCCTCCTCCCATCTGCTCTCCACGTTGCCGCCAGAATGATCTTACCATGAGTACATATGCTCAGGCAGTCCTCTGATCAGAGGGTCCTTAGGATAAAACCCGCAGTCCTTCCTATGGCTTATGGTGCCCTTCCTGACCTGACCTCTGATTTATCCCTCAGCTTTCACCCTCTCCTGCTGCGCTCTTAGTTCTAGCTCTGCTGGACTTCTTTCAGCTCCTCCACCGCAGAGCTGTGCCATCTATCTATATAAAAGCCTAAGCGACCATCGCAACTGAACGGGCGACCCTGCCGGCAGGGGGGTTAGTGAAGGGTGACCAAACAACTGAGCAGCAGGCTGTGTGGGGCAACCAGGCCAGCAGGGGGGGTAGTTGGGGGCAACCAGACTGGCGGAGGGGGGGCAGTTGGGGGCGATCAGGCCAGCAGGGGAGCAGTTAGGGGTGACCAGGTCAGCAGGGGGGTGGGCAGTGAGGGGCGATCAGGCAGGCAGGCGAGCGGTTAGGAGCCAGGGGTCCTGGATTGGAGAGGGTGCAGGCTGGGCTGAGGGGTCCCCCCCACCCCCCACAAATTTTGTGCACCGGGCCTCTAGTAGAAATATAATGTGAGTCACATGTGTAACGTAAAAGTTTCTAATAGCCACATTAAACAAAAGAAAAAAGTGTGAAACCAGTTTGAATAAAAAATTTAACTCATATATCCAAAATATTATTTCAAATGTAAACTATTACATTCTATTTTTTGTACTACATCTAAGGAGCTATTTTGCATTCCCTTTTTGGGTGTGCGTGTGCTAAGTAAATACTACACTTGCAGCATATTTCAATTCAGACTACAGCTACCATTTAAGTGCTCAGTGTAGCCAGCGGCTCCCACACCAGACAGCGAGGCTCTAGTATGTCATGCTTTCTCTTGCCTCTAGACTTCATGCTTGCTGCTCCCTCTTCTCCTCCATCTGATGGACCACTACTCATCAACCAAGTCTCAGCTTAGAGCTCACTTCCTGTGGGAATCCTGAGCCCTCTAGACTAGGCACGATGCTTCTACTCGGAGCCCCTGAAGAATCCTGTACTTCTCCTATCATGACATGTTACTATACTTCATTGTCATTGCTTTTACGTCTTCTGTGTCCCTGTTGAACACGGCTTTGTGAGGACAGAGAGCTTGACTGCCTCGCTCACCTGCATCCCTAGCAAGTGCGTATTTAGTGAATGAGTCCTCAGCCCCCTCCCTCCCTCTGAGGGCCTCTCGGTCTCTTCTGTCCCCCAGATATTGTGGAAGGAAACCTGAAGTCTATCATGCGGCTGGTCCTTGCCTTGGCAGCTCACTTCAAACCCGGCTCTGGCAGGACAGTAAGCCAAGGACGGGACTTCAGAGCCCCTCTGCAGAGTCACCAGCCACACTGTGCCACGGCTGTGGCCCAGGGAGCAGCTGCTGCTCTGGCTGATGTGTGTCACGACATGTCACGGTCAGGACGGGACGTCTTTCGATACAGACAGAGGTAAGGGTGGGCATCTGGGCATGGAAATTGGACTGTCTTTGATATTTTCCCTTAAATGCTTATCTGCAGTAGATAAAAATATCACCCAAACAGCCCCACGCTGCAGAAAAGAGCACTTTGAAAGAGAAAAGCCCTTTCTTTTGAAGAGCTCTATTCGCAGTCAGCAAAGTGGTTGAATGACATAGGTAATCTGTTGCTCTGGTGCCCAGAACTGTGAAGAGATGCCGTTGGCACCGTGTGTTTTCTTCACTGGGAGCAATGTCTGCGGGAGTCTCTCCCTGGAACGTATCCTGAAGGCCAAGCTGCCCCCGGAGGCACGGCAGGAAATGCTTTGGCGGTTGTGTGTGTGCTAAGCACGACCCCGAGGTGTTGCAAAGATTGGTGAAGTTATGTGCGTTTGTATCTATCTTCCCTGCTAGGTTTCAAGTGTCTCTGAGGCAGGGGCTTTGCCTTATTCATCTTTCCTGTAGTGCTCACGAGAGGGCCACCTGTCAGTACTTGTTGAGTGGACGTGAAGGACTGACCCTTCTCCTTTGCTGGTGTCCTCTGGCTTTAGGAACAGCAGCACGGACGAGGAGATCGAGAATCCATACTGGAGCGTGCGAGCTCTGGTGCAGCAGTACGAAGGGCAGCAAAGGTCCCCGTCGGAGTCCAGCTGCTCCAGGTAACCGTGGCCTCAGATTCTTGACCACTCCAGTCCTAGCCAAAAGCTGAATTCTTGAGAAGTCTTGGGGTTCTTAGCCTCAAGTAGCAACACAACAGGCCGTGAGGCACCTAAACCCGTTCTCTTTCCCTCCGATTATGTTTGGCCTTAACGGGGTAGCCCTCAGCACTGCCTCGTGGTTTTGTGCTGGCAGGAGGGGAGGGTGGCATGCTGTGAATTTCCCGCCTGGGGAAGCTTTGTCAGAGACACAGTGCCAGTGCTGGGACCTGCCATGGTCCAGCCTGGAGGTTCGGATGGTGTATATCAGCTGCCAGTGTTTATGAGAACCAGTTCCATTGCATTGGCTTATTGCCTGGGTGTAACTAAGTTATGGCCTGAGGGGGCTGTATCAAACTCATAGCAAGAGAAAATGAGCAGCCCTGGCCGGTTTGGCTCAGTGGATAGAGCGTCGGCCTGCAGACTCAAGGGTCCCAGGTTCGATTCCGGTCAGGGGCATGTATCTTGGTTGTGGGCACGTCCCCAGTAGGGGGTGTGCAGGAGGCAGCTGATCGATGTTTCTCTCTCATTGATGTTTCTAACTCTCTATCCCTCTCCCTTCCTCTCTGTAAAAAAATCAATAAAATATATTTAAAAAAAAAAAAAGAGAGAGAGAAAAAAAATGAGCAGAGTTGTCTTAGAGCAGCGGTTCTCAACCTGTGGGTTGCAACCCCTTTGGGGGTCGAACGACCCTTTCACAGGGGTCACCTAAGACCATCGAAAAACACATATATAATTACATATTGTTTTTGTGATTAATCACTATGCTTTAATTATGTTCAATTTGTAACAATGAAAATACATCCTGCATATCAGATATTTACATTATGATTCATAACAGTAGCAAAATTACAGTAATGAAGTAGCAACGAAAATAATTTTATGGTTGGGAGTCACCACAATATGAGGAACTGTATTAAAGGGTCGTGGCATTGGGAAGGTTGAGAACCACTGTCTTAGAGCATTAGAATGTTTCTGACTTTCACTTATGGGGCTGGGAATTGTGGCAGATTAGTACATATTTGAGTGGGCTAATGATTAGAATACATATGTGACTGTAGCTGAAAGGCTGCCTGTATACCATAGAGCCAAGTGTGGAGACCAAAACAGGACACAGTGCTCTCATAAAAGCCTGATCAATGCCAAGTATAGTGGCAGGAAAAGACTACTTTCCTGGCTTATGTAAATCATGCTCCTATGAACACATCCCCAGATCATGTTAGCTTATTTACCAACTTCATTTCATTGCTGAATCATGTTTAATTTATGATCTTTTGACCTTTTTTGTCTCCTACCTCAATCCAGCTTAGGCTGTTCTAGTTAAACCTAATTGCTCTTTGTCTTTAAGTATTTTATGTGTCTTTGGTGTTTTTCCTCTTATTTCTTTTTCTCATAATATTCCATCTTAGTTTGATGGACCATTTCCTAGTCTATGGAGGTCACATGCAATTCTTTCCCCATTTTAATATTCTGGTAACCTTGCTCAGCTTTAGTGTTCACATTTAATAGATGTGCTTTCTTATGTATAAAATTCACAAAACATAAAATTAACCATTAATCATTTTACTTTTTAAAAATCATCACCCAAGGACATGCTTCGAGAGAGGAAGGGGGGGGGGGGGGGGGGGAGTGAGAGAGAGAGAGAGAGAGAGGAGAAAAGAAAACATCAAAGTGACAGAGAAACGTCCATCGGTTGCCTTCCTTCGTAAGTGTCCCAGGCCTGTAAGTTTTCGGTGCTCAGCCAACTGAGCCGCTCAGGCCCAGCAACCATGAATCATTTTAAAGTGTACAATTCAGTGGCATTTAGTACTTTCATAATGTTTGCAACCATCACCTCTATCCAGTTTGAAGACATTTTCATCACCCCAAAAGGAAACCCTGTACCCATGAAGCAATAGATGTGCTTTCAGTGGGAACCCAAACCATTTCTTCCTTGCTTGCGTCTTAGACTGTCACTTGGTACAGAGTCAAAGGATGTTTCGTTGTATAATGAGATCTATTGCTTCCTGCATGGCCACAGGCCTTTCGCTCTTCTGTG